CTCGCCTGAGATATCCTCGCATCTTTGGGCTCAGAGATGCCCCGCACGAGACGGTCCAGCCAATTCCGCCTGAGACATCCTCGCAACTCTGGGTGCAGAGATCCCCTGACCTGAGGTGCTCCGGCCAGTCTCACCCGAGGCATCCTCCCATCTTTGGGCTCAGAGGTGCCTCGCGCGAAGTGGCCCGTCCAGTTTCGCCTAAGACATCCTCGCAACTCCGGGTTCAGAGATCTCCTGACCTGAGGTGGTCGGGCCAGTCTCGCCCGAGACATCCTCCCATGTTTTGGCTTAGAGATGCCCCGCCCCGCACGAGGTGGTCCAGCCAATTCCGTCTTAGACATCCTCGCAACTCCAGGCTCAGAGATCCCCTGACCTGGGGTGGTCGGGCCAGTCTCGCTGGGGTTGTCGAAGTCGCTAGCGTTGTCGCGGCAACAGGGCGGCGATGACGATGATTATGGCGGTAATCGAAAGGAGGGGGCAGGATGGGGGGTGGAGTAGCTGGCAGAGGAGGAGGAGGATGAGAAGGAGGAGGAAAAGGAGAAGAAGGAGAAGGATGATGAAAAGCCAAGCTCTGGGCCGATCCTTGCGATTCTAGTTAAAACCGCAGGCGCAGGGAAATCCCGTGCGTCACCCCTGAATTGCTCCAAACACAGGGTGTCTTCACGCCTTTACCTGTGACGAGCTCATGTGTCCCCGTATGCGCGAAAGTAGCCGCAAGTGGTCGGACAAGGAACATATGAAATCGCAATGGGTTTACGAATGAAGCGGGTGTTACGCACGGGAAGCGCAACGTATTTTGACGCATCCGTGTGCATTCATAACCCTTCGGAAATATATCCCGGTAAGCCTGTTTCGGCTTTCGCGGCGAACAGTTTTCGTCCGCGCTCGAAGGAGTCGGGCGTCGGCGCGAGGCAGACAAGGGGGAACAATGAGAGCATTGGGGCGGGGGGAGAGGCGGAGGGGGAAAAAAGGAAGGAGGGAAATGCTAAAGAGGAGTGGGAAGAGGAGTGAGCAGGACGGCCGGTCTTGGGGATCTGCTCGGATTTTGCTGAGCATCACATCCACGCCTGGCGTTGCGAGGCATCTCAGCGTGGCTCTTGTTCCTGTCCTCGTCCTTCTCATTTCCCTTTGCTGGTGCTTGTCCTGCTAATTTCGATTGGGAGCCGCATTTTGGGTTCCTCATGGGCCTCTTATCGAAGACGCCTACGGCGAATCACCGACGTCCCCTGTCTTTTGAACTCGCCCATGTGGCCGAGCATTGTGGCAAGAGCTCTGCCAAGCTATCGGACCATGTGTTCCCCCAACCGTTGTGGAAGCCCTTCAGTGAACGCTTGGGGGAGCATGGCGGGGAAGATCAGAAGGATGAGGAGGAGGAGGAGGAGGAGGAGGAGGAGGAGGAGGAGGAGGAGGAGGAGGAGGAGTGGTCCTCTTGGGCCGATTTGGCTCCCTCTTGGGAGCCTCGCGGGCCGTCTTGGAACCGTCTAGGAGGCATTTTGGGCCGTCTTGGGCGATCGGAGACCCAAACAGGTTTGCCTTCTCGGGCTCTCCTAGAGAGCCTCTTGGAGCTTGCTTGGGCCGGCTTGGGAGCCCCTTGGGCTGTCTTCAGGCCGTCTTGAGAGCCTTTTGAGCATTTTTGGGCCATCTCGGGTTCTTGTGGTGTCGTCTTCGTTTGCTCGGAAGCCGTCTTGGAGCTTCCCCGAGCTTGTTTAAGAGGGTAGTTTCACATCGGAGTGCGCATCATATCCGCGTAACAAAACGATGGGAATCATATCTGGGGGGAACGAATCTACATCCACGGAGACGGAAATCACATCCACCCGGGTATAAAGCATATCTGGAATCGGATCCGCGCATTCTAACGTCAGATCCGCTTCAACATCCATTCTTCTATGGATGCGTTCCGTTGTCACTCTTGACGATGCCAATTCCAGGCCCAAGAGGAATCAACTTTAAGCCTGGGGATGGGCGTTCCGGTACTTTTCTGCTGATGCGAGAGAGCTGATGTGACGCATCGCGCGCGCACGCGTGCGCGCGCCATTTCAACCAAACAGGCTACGGATGTAACGGGGTCAGGGCATGTTGACTGCTCCGCAAATCAGTGCCAGTAAGGTACCGTGCTCGTGAACCTCTCACTAGGAAAACTGATCCATTGACCGTGGAGTCACTTCGGGGCTTGCCGATGATCGGACGGAGGCCGCGGGGGAAACAGTGAGCTAGAGTCCTGAAGAAGGAGGGGGCACGCGGCTTCTCCTCCCGGAGCGTCCAGGCAAGCGGCGTGCACGGCGGGATGACAATCGCTCGAGCTCGAGCGCGATGGCCCCCCGCGCACGGCGGCGCCATGGCGGGCGGTTCGCCGCAGGCGGGCCCGCGCCCCCCGGGCGCGCCCTCGCCGGACGGGGGGGGCGAGCGTGAGGGCGAGACCGCTCTGGGCGTCAAGCCGCGCCGAGTGCTGGGCCTCGCCGCGGTGCAGGCGAGGAGGCAGCGGGAGGAGGAGGAGCGCGACCAGAGGCGCGAGGACGCGCGCCAGAGGCGCCTGGCCCAGGCCAGCAGGCAGGGGGCCGAGGAGGAGGCCGCCCTGGCAGAGTGCGAGGAGGCCGCCGTGCGGGACAGCGAGGCCGACGCCCGCGTGCGCTTCGAGGCCGCGCTGGTCGTGCGCATCGCCCTGAGGTTCGGGCCCGGCGCCTGGGCGAAGCTCTGCGAGGCCGCCGCACGGGGCGCGGACCTGCCGCGGGACCCCAGGAAGATCCTCCTCCTGGTGCACCCCGACAAGTGCCCCATGTCGGCGGCGAGCGAGGGGGGGGAAGTGCGGAGGAGAAGGCCTTCTCCGAAGGCTCGGAAGCCCCCCCGGCTTTCTCTCTGAGAAGTGTTCGAAGCCTTCCCCAGAAGCACAGAGAAAGCTTCTCTCGGAAGGCGCGAGGGCTTCTGAGAAGTCCCGCCGCCTTCTCAGAAGGCCTTCTCCTTCTCGGACGCATGGTGGTTTCTGGGTCATGACTCGGCTCTCCGGTGGCCGTTCGGGACGATCCGGGCACCCCGGGAACGCCCACGGCGAGGCGCAGGCGCCAGAACGCACCCCCAGGCTGGAAAGCCGCCGAGAACCGACGAAGGCGCCCGAAGACCTCGAGCCTCGAGGCCGAATTTTTTTTCCCCCCTCCTCACTTCCCCCCCTCGCTCGCCGCCGACCATGCCCGAGGCGTCCGACGCCACGGCGGTGCTCAACGCGCGGCGGCCGCCGGAGCTGCAGGAGGCGCGGGCGCCCCCGGGCGGCGGCGCGCCCGCCGCCCCCGCCTCCGCCGCGGCGGGCGGCGGGCAGGCGGCGGAGCACGCCGCCCGGCAGGCGCGCATGGAGGCCCGGCGGCGGCGGCTCGCCCCGCGCTGCCGCTCGTCGGGGAACCACAAGTGGCATAAACATAGAAGCTCGGAGGTCCGCGCGGAGTTCTCGGATCGGCGCTGGGGCCCCCCTGGCGGCGCCTCCGGCGCCGCCCCCGGCGCGCTGCGCGCCAGGGAGGGGGGTCCAGCGCGGATCCGAGACATCCGCGCGGACCTCCGAGTTTCTATGTTTATGCCACTTTGCGTTCCCCTAGCTCGGCGGACTCCGCCGTGAGCGCCCCCGTGCTGGAGCCGCCGCTGCTGGCAAGGCCCGGGCGCGAGGCCCCAGCGCCCTCCTTCGGTTGCAAGTCCTGGGAGCGCGGTGTGTGCCCTCCTGTGATGCCGTCTTTCGCGTCGACGGGCGTCGGTTGGCGTCTGGGAGTCGATGAGGCAGCGCCCCGATTGAGCGCCCGTTAGCGTCGATCGGCGCCCATTTGGCGTCGATGAGCGTCGGTTTCATGTTGGCGAGCGTTGCTTCGCGAGTTCGATGGTGTGGGAGGCTCCCGCGAGTTGCCACCGAGCCGGACCCGCCGCTGCCGGCCCGGCCGGGGCGCGGGCCCCCGGCGCCTGCCGCGCCGGCGGCGCCGGAACCTGCCGGGCTGGAGAGCGCCGCGCTGCCGACCTCCCCAGACCTTCTCGCGTCGTCTAAACTCAGGAGAGGAAAAAACACAGACACAATTAATCCTCGATTCCCCAGAAAATATGGGAAAATATGGGAAGTGGGCGGGGAGACAGAAACCCAGAAACTATGGGAAAATATGGGGAATATTTTCATTTGTGTGTATTTATTTGTGTGTCCTGTGGCCCCTTCATAAACGCCACGACGGATTGTTTTCTTGATGCCACGGTCGGCCTCCGGGGGCATTCTTGGGCCCCGGGGCCGTCAAAAGCCCATCGGAAGGAAGAGCAGGCCCTGCGGAAGTGGTCGAGGCCTCCTGGGTAGGCGATGTTGCAAATGACGACGTCGGAGGTCTGGGTCTGCCGCTGCGCCGCCGCCGCCGGTCAGGGCCAGCGCGGGGCAGGCCCCACCCGCGCCGGTGCCGCTGTCGCCTTCTGGGCCTACCGGCGTGGGCTCACCTCCTGCGGCAGCGCGCGCTCTGAAGGGGCCCGATGCGGCGACGGTCCCCACGAGGATGGCGGCGGCAGAGCTGTTGCTCACGGTGGCGGCGGGTGCTGAGGGTTCTGCAGCGCATCTGCAACCCGCAGTAGAGCCGTCGGCGCCCCGCGAGCCTCAGGGCGCGGCGCTCGCGCCGCGACCAGCCTGCGCTGCAGACTTGCAGCCACCGGCGGTGCTGCAGTTGCCTTCGGCGTGCGCAGTTCGCGAAGAGCCTCGGGCAGACGCGGCCGCGCTTTCGAGGTCATCCGCGGCGGCGTGGCTGGGGTCGCAGGGCCATGCAGCGGCGGCGGAGCAGACAGCAACCTCGGCGGGGCCACAGCTGCTGGCGTCGGCGCGAGAGCCAGAACCCGCGGGGACGTCGCCAGTGACGGCCGGCGTCGAGCAGGCTTGCATCCCCGCAATTTCGCGGCCGCTGGCGCCCGTGCCGGCCTGGGCCGCCGCCCTTGCTGCCAAGGAAGGGTCCAGCTCGCACTGCGCACCCGCCGAGACCGCTGCCGCCCTCGCGCTGCGGGCCAGGCTGGCGGCCACGCTGGCAAGCCGGGTCGCCGCGCAGGAGCCCACGGCCAGCCCAACGACAGTGCCGGAGGCTTCCGCGGCCGCGGAGCGCCGAATAGACCCAGCGGACGGCGCACTGCGAACGCAGCAGTCGGTGGTGGAGAAGCACGCCGGCAGGCTCTCCGCGGCTGGGGCGGAGGCCTACTGGCGCGAGCAGTGCAAGCCCTTGAAAGTCAAGAGATATTGACTGGTCGCAGCCCTGGGTTTGTGTTTGGGCTTCTCCGATGTAGGCGGGCGCGAGCGCGCTGAGCTCTCTAGGCGTCTGGTTGCTTGTGCGAGCGTTGAGCCCAGGAAACCGTCTGCTTCATGTGCATAGGATTTGCAGCTGCTGTATCGTGGTTGACATCATATAGATGCATCAAATCTGCACGGGCGCCTGTAAATGTCCCCGTTCCAGCTTGCGGTGGACATTTACAGCAGTCGTCGATGTGTTCACTTCTTCTGGGCTGGACTGGGCCACGTGAGAGAGATTGCTGCTGATGATGATCATGCTTATTCTTATGATGATGATGATGATGATGATGATGATGATGATGATGATGATGATGATGATGATGATGATGATGATGATGATGCTGATGATGCTGATGATGCTGATGATGCTGATGATGATGATGATGATGATGATGATTCAGAACATGATGATGCTGATGATGATGCTGATGCTGATGCTGATTCTGATGCTTGTGCTGATGATGACGATGACGATGCTCATGCTGATGCTGATGCTGCTTCTGCTGCTGCTGATGATGATGCTGACGATGATGATAATGACTTTGATGGTGATTGTGATGGTGGTGGTGACGATGATGGTGGTGGTGATGATGATACTGATGATGCTGATGTTGATGATGATGACGATGATGATGCTGATGATGACGATAATGATGATGATGCTTCTGATGATGATGACGATGATGACGATGCTGATGATGACGCTGATGATGCTGATGATGATGCTGATTATGATGATGATGCTGATTATGATGATGATGATGATGATGATGATGATGATGCTGATCATGGCGATGATGGCGATATGATGATGATGATGATGATGATGATGATGATGATGATGATGATGATGATGATGATGATGATGATGATGATGATGATGATGATGATGATGCTGATGATGATGATGATGATGATGATGATGATGATGATGATGATGATGATGATGATGATGATGATGATGATGATGATGATGATGATGATGATGATGATGATGATGATCTGATGATGATGATGATGATGATGATGATGATGCTGATGATGATGATGATGATGATGATGATGAATGATGATGATGATGATGATGATGATGATGATGATGATGTGATGATGATGATGATGATGATGATGAAGATGAAGATGATGATGATGATGATGATGATGATGATGATGATGATGATGATGATGATGATGATGATGATGATGATGATGATGATGATGATGATGATGATGGTGATGATGATGATGAGTGTCGGTGGCGAAGACGAATGTAAGAGCACATATATGATTCTGAGAAGTGGGAGCAGGGTGAATGTGAGAGCGATGGGGATGGGTGAGGACGGTGAGAACGAACATGAGGAGCAGGCTGACCGTGATAGAGGAGGAACCCCAGTTTGGATGTGGAAAACAGTGAACAGGTGTGAGGGCCGTTGTTCGGTTGAAGTGGCTCGAGCTAGGCGCCGCCGCTGTCGGCTCTTGCCTGGTCCTGCCACCTCCGTCCCACTGGCGGCATGGCCAGTCTGAAGCGTGGCCTAGCGCAGTGCACAGCCGCCGCAAGCATCGGCATCGCCGGGGACGTCGGCATGCAGATGCTGGAGGGCAGCGCGCTGCTGGGCGCGGACGTCCCCCGTGCCCTCCGCTTGGCCGCCTACCGCGCTGTGCAGGCGCCCGTTGTGGATCGCATTTGGCAGGCGTTCGACAGGCTCATCCTCGTCAAGGGCCTCCCTGGCGCTGCTGCGAAGGCTCTGGCCGATCAGTGCCTGATCATGCCGCCCTCGCTGACCAGCTTTTTCGTCTCCCAAGGGCTGATGGAAGGCCTCTCGTGCCTGCAGAGCCTCGAGCGCGCCCAGCAGTCTCTGCTGCCGGCCGCCCAGGCTGCCGTCCCGTACTGGCTCTCGGTGCACATGATTACCTTTTCCGTGGTGCCGGAGCACTTACGCATCGTCTGGGCGTCCCTGTGCGCGACGCTATGGAACGTGTACATTCGGGGATACGTGAGACTCGAGTTTGCTGAATCGCGAATTATTTGCGCTCTGCGTATCCCCACCGGCCCGTCCAGAAACGATGCCCAGGAGCTGACGGGAGACGGGATGAAGAGGCACACATTGTGAAACAGAGCGGGCAACAAGGGTGAGTTGAGAGATCTTCGGGAGCGAGGGGTGCCTGTCTGCTGGTGGTGGTAGTGCTGCTGGCGTTGCTGCTGCTGCTGGTGGTGCTGCTGGTGGTGGTGCTGTTGCTGGTGCTGGCTGCTGCTTCTGGCGTTGCTGCTGCTGCTGCTGCTGTTGTGCTGATGGCTGTGGTGGTGGGGGTGGTGGTGGTGGTGCTACTGCTGCTAGTGCTGCTGGTGCTGGTGCTGGTGCTGGTGCTGCGGTTGCCGCTGCGGGTGCTGGTGGCAGTGCTGCCGTTGCTGCTGGTGGCGGTGGTGGTGGTGATTCTGCTGCTGCTGCTGCTGGTGCTGGTACTGCTGCTTGTGCTGCTGCTGATTTTGCTGCTGCTGCTGCTGGTGCTGCTGCTGGTGTTGCTGCTGGTGCTGCTGGTGGTGCGGCTGGTGCTGGTGGTGGTGGTGGTGCTGCTGCTGCTGGTGCTGCAGCTGCTGAAGTTGCTACTGGTGCTGCTGGAGGAGGAAGCGCAAGGAGGAGAATGGGAGGAGGAGGAGGAGGAGGAGGAGGAGGAGGAGGAGGAGGAGGAGGAGGAGGAGGAGGAGGGCGGCACGAGGAGGATTCGGATGAAGAGGAGGAGGAGGAGGGCGGAGGCTGGAAGGGTGGAGGAAGGAACCGACGATGACGAGGAGGATGAGAAGTTGATAGGTTTTTGGAGGACTTGGGGCCATCTTGGGACCCTCTTGGGGTCCCCGTGGGGCATCTTGGGGCAGTCTCGGAGCTCTTTTGGGGGGTCTTGAGGGGTCTGGGAGGCCTCTTGGGGCCGTCTTGGGCCCCATGGCTCAAAGAGAGGTTCTCATTTCAGCCCCTCCCCTCGGAGGCTCAAAAAACGGCGTCTTGGGGCCCTCTTGGGCTGCTCTTGGAGCGCTCTAGGGCGCTCTTGGGGCCCTCTTCGGGCCCTCTTGTGCCCCTCTTATGGCTTTCTTGGGCCGTCTTAGGGCCATCTCGAAAGCGAAACCGCGAGAAGGCAAGCAGCATTGATTTTCTATTTGTTTCGGAGCCATTTTGTCCTCTTTAGGGGGTCCTCGGAGGGCTCTGTGGACACCACCGGAAGCCGTCTTGGGGCCGTCTGGGGGCTTCTTTGCTGTGCGTCGGAGGCTATCTTGAGCCATTTTGAAGTATCTTGGCCCATTTTGGAGGCCATCTTCGGCTCGCGGAGGCCCTCTTGGATCTATCTTGGACCAACAAGGACGCTCTGACACCTCGCGCCACCGCCCTTCAGGCCCAGGAGAGGGGTTAGGGGGAGGGGGCGAGGCCCCCCCAAGATTGCAAGCTTTCGCGCTCACTCCCACCCGCCATCCCAACACATAAGTACCCGAGTCTCAGCACATCGCCGAGGAGCGCCACGCATGCCATGTGGGCCACGGGTCCAGGTGCACCAGGCACCCTGGAGGCCGAAGCGTGCGAGGTGCGGCAAGTGCGGCACGTGCTCCACGAGCGTCAAGTGCGCGACGTGCTCCAGCCGCGCCAGGTGCGCCACGTGTTCGGCGCGCGCAGTGCGTGCGAGGTGCGCCATTGCACAGCTGTCGCTGGGTGGATTCTTTTTTTTTTTTTTTTTTGACAGGGATGGTTGGCCTGCGCGCATCAAGCAATATGCCGGCCCCCCCGCCATCCCTGTCAAAAACCAATGCAGAGTGGTCGCGGGGCACCCGCTGAGTGGTCGCGGGGCGCCCGCGCGCATGCTCGGGATTTGGAGGCAAAGTGCATTTCGTATTGTTTTTTGTGGCAGGGGCGGTCGGCTTGCGCGCCTCTTGTACGCCACAAACAGCCTGAAGCACCCCCGCCGTCCCTGTCAAAAACCACTGCGCTGTGGTCGCGGGGCGTCCGCGCATGCTCGAGATTTGGAGGCAGAGTGCATTTTTTTTATTATTAAAAAAAAAACAAAAAAAACAGGGATGATGGGGGGGGAGGTGGCATGTCCCGGGTTGGCCCAGAGTCAGGTGGGGGAGGGGGTGCTTATTAATCAGGAACAATGATTAAACCCTCCCCCGAACAGGGGAAGGAGGGGTGTTGGAAAGAGAGAAGACCAGAGTTCGCCCAGCTGCCTGGTGGGATTTGCCGGCGCTTTTCGACGCCCCCCGTCGTGAACTCTGCCGGTCCGAGTTTTTCCTGAGGTGTTTGCGGGGGGCCAGGATCGCGTCTAGTGACCAGTGCCAGATTTGGACCCGCCACTTGTCCGGCGACCCCGCCAGGCCAGCTGGCGTTTTCGGGCCCGAGCCTTTACGCCTCCCCGACGCATGTCGCATGCGAACGCCCAGGCTCGGCTCCGAGAGGGCCGGTGCCCGCGCGAGACCCCCGCGGCACGGTGAGCCGCGGTGGGCCGCGCACTGCCGGGGGCGCGCCGGCCGCCCCCGTGCCGCCAGGCGGCCGGCAGACGCCGCCCAGCCTTCACCGAGCGCGTTCCACCACTCGCCGAGTGCCTGCTCGCAAACTTCTGGAGGAGCGCGCGCGCGCGCCTCGAGGCCAGGCACATCGCAGCTCCTCCATGGCGCCTCCGGGCCAGCTGCGAGCAGCCACTTCTGGCGCGTCGTGGAGCGCGCTTAAGCCCAAATCCCTGGGCACGCAGCCGGCCGAGGCGGCGCTGCTCGCTCCGTCCGCGCCGTCGTGGCCGCCGGCGCGCAGGGCAGCGGGCCGCCGGCCGCCTCGGCCCCCGCGGGCGGCAGGCAGCGGGCGCCGGCGCGTCCGTGGGGGGGTGTCCGCCGCTCCCCCCGGGTGCCTCTCTGGCGGACCCGGGGTCCGGGCGCCTCGTGGGGCCGGCCTGCCCCTCGGGGGCCCCCAAGCGGGGTAGTGACCACAGCGTGTGGTGAGTCGGTGGGGATTCGGGGTCACCGCACGGTTTTGGGGCTCGGGTGGTTCTCCGAGGATGTCTCGGGCGGCAGGGGCCTCCGGGGTCCCAAGGCCGTGCGGTGACGGACCGTGCGGGTGAGGTCTTGGGGGATTGCGAGGTCACCGCACGGTCCGTCACCGCACTGTTTCGGGATTCCAAACTCCCCCCCTCCTCCAGGCCTTCCTCATCGGGCGCGTTCCACTGCTCGCAAAGTGCCTACTCGCCAACGCCTGGAAAATACATGTTACCCTCGATGTGTTTTGTCGTAGATCCCCCGCGGCGGATCCGGGCTATTTGCGAGTAGCTGTTTTGCGAGTAGTGGAACGCGCTCGTCTACTTCCGCTGGCCCAGATTTTCGAAGAGGACAAAACGCCACAAGCATAAACTTGTGGCGCTACGCGTGGATTTTTTGGATCCGCGCTGAGCACCCCCGGCGGCGCCTCTGGCGCCGCCCCTGGCGCGCTCCGCGCGCCAGGGAGGGGAGTCCAGCGCAGATCCAAGAAATTCGCGCGGAGCGCCCAAAGTTTATGTTCATGCAATGTGTTCTTCTTCTAACTTTAAGTCGTCGCGTCCCTCTACAGGAGGACTACTCAAAAATAGTCAAAACATAGTGCGTGGACGATTTTTAGAATATTTTTGGACTATTGTAATTTTTTCGTCGAAGATCCGCCTGTAGGAGGACATGTCCGGCCTGATTCTAACTCCTCTTGCTGGCCCACATTTGGGAGCTGATTCGTGGCGGCCAGGGTGATCGACGGGGCCTTGGCTGCTCCAGGTTGGCGCTGGCCCGGGCGGCTGCTCGCCATGCCCGCACGAGCGTGTTCTCGCTGCAGCGGGGGACGCCACGCGCGTCATGCCCCTCCTGGAGGGTTTCTCCGAAGGTCTTCGGCGACCCGTCCTCCTCCTCTCTCCTCCTGCTCCTCCTCCTCCTCCTCCTCCTCCCTCCTCCCTCCTCCTCCTCCCTCCTCCCTCCCCCTCCTCCCTCCTCCCTCCTCCCTCCTCCCTCCTCTTCCTCCTCCCCTCCCCTCCTCCCTCCCCCCTCCCCTCCTCCTCCCTCCTCCTCCTCCCTCCTCCCTCCTCCCTACTCCTCCTCCTCCTCCCCTCCTCCTCCCTCCCTCCTCCTCCTCCTTCTCCTCCTCCACCTCCTCCTCCTCCTCCTCTCCTCCTCCTCCTCCTCCTCCTCCTCCTCCCCTCCTTCCCCTCCTCCTCCCTCCCTCCTCCTCCCTCCACCCTCCTCCTCCTCCTCCTCCTCCTCCTCCTCCTCCTCCTCCATTCTCCTCCTCCTCCTCCTCCTCCTCCGCCTCCGCCCTCCTCCTCCTCCTCCTCCTCCGCCTCCTCCTCCTCCTCCTCCTCCTCCTTGGGTTGCCTACGGCCCCGGGGGAAATCGTGCAGCCCCTCTCTCTGCCCCTCCCCCATTTGGGTCGACAATTGCCAGGCTGGGGGCCTAGAACACAAAGTTTCCAGGGACGTTGGTTTGGAGGTTGGGCGCAGCGGATGGCAGGGTGGGCGGTCTGGGTGGCCTCCAGGCGAGACACTGCAGGTTGGGGGGACCTTGCGAACAGGGGTTCCACGCAGGTGAGGGCCAGGCGCGATGAGGGCAGGGCGGGTGACCAGGGTGGGATTTGGGTGACAAAGTAGAATTGGGGAGGCCCGAGGAAGAGAGGGTCCATGGAGGGGGGGATGCCGGGCGCGGTGAAGGCAAGGTGAGGAGTGATGGTGGGTTCTGGGGGTGTCGGGGTCGTACGGGCCGAAGATTTTATTATCGGGGTTGTATTTAGTACAGGCTCATGGGGGTGACAAGGTCAGAGAGGGGTGGCGATGGGGAGTGTCGGAGTCGGTTCCCAGAACCATTGGAGATTGTGTATGGGGATACTGTAGAAATTCGATGGCACACGTCTCCGAGGTCGGCCATCGTACCCCCTGCTCTCCTCCCCTTGTGTGTTCATCCTCCCCCTCATCCCTGCCACCCGCTTCCCCACACGCTCCCCTTCCTCTTCGTTCGCGTCCTCGCCCTCCTCGTCTCCTCCGGCTGCCTGCCTACCTGCCCGACCGCTGGCTCAGTAGTCGCTCGACCGTCGCCCAGCCGACATGGGGAACACTATTGCCAACCAGCGTCCGCCAACAACCACAGGATGAGGATGAGAAGAAGGCGTAGAATACAGAAGGGAGGAGCAGGAGGGGGGGCGAGGACGAGTGTGTCAGGGTCTGGGCTCAATCTTTCGTGAGTTGTCCAGGCTCGAGCAGGCAAGCCTCCGCGATTCGGGGGCCACCGCCAGCGGCCGGTGTACATCGCGAGCGAGAGTGATGTTTTCGATGGGCGCCCTCAGGGGGGCTGCCAGAGTATACGACGCGGACAACGCCATCAAAGTGAGCATGCGGGCGCGGTCATCCCAGTTACGGGCTGACGCCGATCGCGAGCGCTTATGCAATGATGTGTTGAATACAAGTGTTATGGCTGCCTTGGTTGGAGGGTTCGCGTTTTCGAACTTGCAGGAGTTGCACAGCCCCCTCAAGCAGGACGAGCCAAGGCCAATTGACATCGCAATCTACATGTTCAACGTCATCGCAGTGCACGCTAGCACTTGTTCTTGCCTTGCGAGCGCGTTTCTGTACAGAGTCATAAATCGACTGAGGGATGACGCTGTTTCCACTTGGGCAGCTGACATGCCATGGAAGATGCTTCTTCCAATGCCACTGGCGAAGTTTGGGATGGGGTGCGTTTTCTACCTCGTTAGCGTCATCTTATTGTCATTCCGCGACCTGGAGTACACAGGGGTGTGGCGCTACGCAGCGTTAGCAATTGGAGTTGGGAGCGTGATGATGGTATTCTGCACTGCCTCCATCGTATTTTATTTGAAAGGGTAGGCCTTGGTATTCGGAAGTTGTCCATTGGTTGACGCTCTGCCACGCCACATGCCACGGGCGAGTGTATTGCTCGGCGGCGAGCGAGGGGGGAAGTGAGAAGGAGAAGGCCTCCTCAGAAAGCGGTCGGACTTGTCAGACGCCCTCGCGCCTTCTTAGAAATCTTTATGTCTTCGGGGAAGGCTTAGAACACTTCTCAGAAGGCCTGGGGACTTCCGAGCCTTCTGAGAAGGCCCGCCCTTTCTCACTTCCCCCCGCGCTCGCCGCCAATTTGCTCTGCGTGGTTTCGGTGTTCCGTCTCACCCTCTAGGGGTGGAAAGTCGCAGCCGAGTTGATCAACGCAGGATCAGTCTTCAAGCACAGCCGCATTGCGCTCGGAGTCATGACGAGTTACGTGATGCGAGAGTCTAGTAGGCTACATGTAACCATACAGGCAGTGACCACTTTTTCTGCTCGCTTGGGGATGCGGACGCTGTTATCACATCATGGTCGCACACCGTGTTAGACATTGGCGACTCGCAGAAACGATAGCTTGTTACATCGGTGGCCTCCTGAGAATTTTTGACCATCATGGCCCATTTGCAACATCGGCAGCCCTGTCGGCTGGCTTCGGCCGTGACTGCCTACTTTGACGAGCTGTGATCAGGTCGCCCTGAATGATAAATTATGTTAATCACAGAACTTTCCCCCATCCTCCTCCTGGCTCCTCCTCTTCATACCCCTCCTCTATCTTCTACTTCTCCTCTCAATCATCCTCATATTGCTGTCTAGCGTTCGAATTCTAGCTCAGGTAAGGAGGAGAAGACGGAGGCAGAGCCGCAGTAGCAGCAGCAGGAGCAGGAACAACATGGGGGACGAGGATAGAAGGAGGAGAAAATGGTAGAACGCAAGTAACATGGGGGGCCGCAGTTGCTTACGAAACCAGAGCAGCACCTATACCGAAGTGTGCGCTGCTGATAACAAGCTGCGCCTACGTATGCCGGGCACTCGCTGTATGCCTTCGCGGTCTCAGACAAGGGATGGTTTCAGAGCGTGCGTTCGCGCTGTTATCGCGCTCCCGGTCAGCTGGTGCCACCTCTGTGGTCACCCCTTTTCCCTCGCCGCCCTAGCGGCGGGCTGTAACAGGCTCAGGCTAGCGGGCCAGCTTGAGCTTGACAAGCTACGAGCAGGAGAAGGAGAGACGAGGAGAGGAGGACGAGTGAATCAGGAATACATTGTTTATATTACTACCAGCCATGGCCCGATGTCGCCACGCGTTTTAGCAAACATCGAAGCCGCCAGCAGCAAATGCTGATGGTGACATGATAGACCCCCAAAGACGCTAGCATTTCCACTCGCCATGTGAAGGCGCATGTGCACTGATGACTTGTAAGTTACGCTGCAGCGAAATGACACATCGAGTACTCGCATTTAGACAAAACAGTGTACCAAACACAAATTATATGATGTCAGCACGTGGGTCCTGCACTCCAGACGCGCTGGGTCCTGCACTCCACACGTGCAAGCCATGCGGTGCAGTCGCCGCAGGGCACAAACCGCAGAGCACCAACCGTACGGCATCTTAGGGCAACGACCGAAAGGCACCACCGCGAAACTGGCCGACTGCGATACCAGCCTTGGGGCACTTGCCATAGGCCTCCGAGCGCGAACTGCTGACTGCGGCACAGAGGCGATGCATCTGGCGATACATAGAGCGCCAGCCATGCAGCACCAAGCGCAAACGGCCATGAGCACCGACCAGGAACGGCAGGCTGCGGTACACATGCCACAGGGCACCGAGCGGGAACCATCCGGCACCGACTGGGAGCGGCAGATTGCGGCACGCAGCCCCATATTTCCCAACCATCCTGTGGTGTTGGGTCCTCGTTTTGAAGAGACAGCGCCCCGCGTTCCTCCTCCTTCCTCCCGCTGCCTCCTCCCTCCCCCTTGCCTCTGCCCTCCGCATGTCTCTGTTTCGGCACATCCCTCACGCGTTCCGTGGCCCCATAGGGAGCTCCACCGAAGGCCCCAGTGGCAGGGTCCGCATGGCGGCCCCGCATTTTGGCGCACCCCTCACACGGTTCGTGGCCCCATAGGGAGCTCCACCGAAGGCCCCAGTGGCAGGGTCCGCATGGCGGCCCCGCATTTTGGCGCACCCCTCACACGGTTCGTGGCCCCATAGGGAGCTCCACCGAAGGCCCCAGTAGCAGGGTCCGCATGGCGGCCCCGCATTTTGGCGCACCCTCACACGGTTCGTGGCCCCATAGGGAGCTCCACCGAAGGCCCCAGTGGCAGGGTCCGCATGGCGGCCCCGCATTTTGGCCCGCCCCTCACACGGTTCGTGGCCCCATAGGGAGCTCCACCGAAGGCCCCAGTGGCAGGGTCCGCATGGCGGCCCCGCATTTTGGCGCACCCCTCACACGGTTCGTGGCCCCATAGGGAGCTCCACCGAAGGCCCCAGTGGCAGGGTCCGCATGGCGGCCCCGCCATTTTGGCGCACCCCTTTCGTGGCCCCATAGGGAGCTCCACCGAAGGCCCCAGTGGCACACGGTTCGTGGCCCCATAGGGAGCTCCACCGAAGGCCCCAGTGGCAGGGTCCGCATGGCGGCCCCGCCCCATTTTGGCGCACCCCTCACACGGTTCGTGGCCCCATAGGGAGCTCCACCGAAGGCCCCAGTGGCAGGGTCCGCATGGCGGCCCCGCCCCATTTTGGCGCACCCCTCACACGGTTCGTGGCCCCATAGGGAGCTCCACCGAAGATGATGCCCACAATTGCGGTATTAACAATTGCTTAAGGTTGGGTCTTTCGCCAGGCTAATTTTCCAACCTGAGCGGGACCCCTCGGATGCTGGCATTTTTCGGTGAAGTCGTTCGCACGCTTGTGTTGTTCTGGACGGCGCCTGTGGAGTCAGGTGCGCTAGCAAGCTTTGCAGACGGGTAAGCATGGGCAAGCATTGTGCGAGGATTATGACGTGCGCGACACTGCCTCATCGTCATCCTGAAACCATCTCATTGTCACTCATGCAGACACCAGCCAGGCGCGCGACGCCCGCGAGGTGTGCCACGCGTGTGCCAAGTGCGTCACGCGCAGCAGGCTCCCCGTGTGCCCAAGCGCGCCAGGGGCACTTGGTGCGGTATATGCGCCAAATGGTCTACATGCGGCCACTGTGCCACGGGCTCCAACTGCGCCAGGTGCGTTAAGTGCGCGTCCCGCGCAGTGTGCGCCAGGTGCACTAGCGCACGTCACAGCACACATCGGGCAGTATGTCGATTTCTCACCATCCTTGCCAAAACCTATGCCGCGCGACGTCGTGATTGCCAGCGTTGTGTTTTATGTGTGCGCCCGCAATCACTTTGCATTGGCATTTGACATGGATGGTGGACCTGCGCACAGGGGCAATATCATGTCCCCTCGCCGTCCCTGGCAAAATGAACCCGGCGTGGCCCCAATTAGGGGGAAGTTTCTAAGCCGCACTGCTCGATGAGTTTGCATTTGTTTTCATTGCTTGGTTTGGGCCTTCACTGCTTGGCATTGCTGGGCATTGCTGGGCTTTGCTGGGCATGCTTTGGCGTTACTTGGCGTTGCTCGGCGTTGCTTGGCATTGCTTGGCACTTCTTGGCATTACTTTGTGTTGCTTGGCATTGCTTGACATTGCTGGGCATTGCTCGGCATTGCTTGGCATTGCTTTGTGTTGCTTGGCAATCCCTGGCGTTGTTTGGCATTGCTTGGCATTGCTGGGCATTGTTTGCCATTGCTTGGTATTGCTGGTCATTGCCTGGCGGTGCTAGACGTTGCTAGTCAGTGCTTGGCATTGCTTGCTATTGCTTACTATTGCTTGGCATTGTTGGGCACTGATTGGGGGTTGTCTGGCATTGCACGAGAAACAAGACCAAACAACCCGGAGCAACGCTATGGTAAAGGAGCGAGACCAGACGACCCCGAGGAACGCCAACAAGACCAGGGAGACCGGAGGACCGCCACTGCAAACAAACAGGAGCAGGAACCCCCTAGGAAGGCTGGCAGGCGCAGGCCGCGCACCCACCGGGTGTTCGAAAGCACGTGCGCACGAAGATCGTTCGGAGTCTGCCGCAAATTCAGGTTTGCATTGTTTTTGATAAGGATGGGGGGGGTGCGGTGGCCTTTTTCCTGGTCGGTCGCAGGTCGAGCGGGGAGGCGTGTTTATCAGTGAAGAGCAAAGAGGAAGAAGGAGGCTTGAAGAAGAAGCGCGCTGGACCGCCTGAGCTCTGAAGGGCCAGTGGAAGTTTCGACTCATGGCGGCCCTGCGAGCGCGGAGCCGGTGTGGTGTAAAAGATGTCGTGGCCCCGGGAAGGTGGATCCGGGGTAGTTTATGAGGAATCGCGGGGGGGCTACAGACCTGGGACTGCGCCCCCTCCCCCTTCTCTTGTTAATTCAAGCTTCGCGCGGCCCGCTTAGCTTCGACCGGAAGAGGTGCGCTCTCGACCCGCGAATCAAAAAAAGGTTATAGATTTGGGATTCTTTTTAGGGGAGCGATAGGGCATTTTGATGGCCAGGGGGGACCTACGGGGCAGGGTTTGTCGTTCCTTGGCTTGTGCCGTGGCACGTCCCTTGGCCTGGCGCGTCCCGCGGTACGTTGCCCAGCACGTCTCTTGGCACGTGCTCTGGCACGTCTGCGGCGCTTGCTTCAGCATGTCCCCTGGCACGCCCCCTGGTGCGTCCCCCGGTACGTCTACTGGCGCGTCCCATCAGCTCAAGCCACACATCCAGATCCGTTGTGTTAGAATTCGGATGCCAAGGATCACACGTACAGCACAGTTCAACACCATGCAAATAGCACAAGTTCAGTGCAGCACGGCTGGGCGCAGCATTGCACAGCCCTTTGCACGGTTCCATCACCATCATTATCGATATCTGCAGCATTGCCAGTGCTTGTCACGCATGGTTTGCTGTCTCGATGACGCGCATGCCTCACACCTCTATGCCTCTTACTGGGGGGGTCATGTGTCGATCATGTTCTTCGTAAGTCCTTCCTGCTCATTTTGATCTCGCCCCTTATCTTCTTCCTCTTCCCGCAGTTTGTTCTGGCCCCAAAGAGTGTCGGAGCCGCCAGCCGGTCCACGTTTTTAAGCCCACGGCCCTCCGAAGACGGCCGCAGATCCCCACCCGGCATGGCCCGTGTGTGCCTCGCGGCGGTGCCTTGGGAATGCCTCGATGCGAGCACAGGGGGCGCTCCAGAAGTCGGAGGGCACCGACTACACATCGGCGTCACCCCAATGCACTAATATTATGTGTGCGTCGCCCCGCCAGGGGCGACGCGCGCACCGAGAACTCTTATAGTGTATGCGTCGTGGGTGCAGGTGTATAGTTGACGTCCTCCTGGGAAGGGCGAGGAGGATGATGATGAGGAGGATTCATATTGATACTGATAACACATCATGTGAATAATATTACGAAACAGACTCAGAGTAATGATAGTCATATTATCTGTACAAAGAAACGAACTACTGATTAATACCACTATCAATGATATTACGAACAATGCTATTCACACGAGGGAAAACATTATTAAGACCATCCATACTACGAATAATACGAATACTAATACTACCAGTGCTAATAAGCATATGAATGATACATGTAACACTAGTACTATTCATATTATTACTAATAGCACGAAGTATAGTCATATGAAGAGGAGGAGGGTGAGGCGGAGGATGAGGCGGATGAGGAGGAGCAGAAGGAGGAGGAGGGGGAGGAGTAGGAGGAGGACGAGGAGGAGGAGGGGGGGAGGAGGAGGAGGAGGAGGAGGACGAGGCGGAGGAAGAGGAGGAGGAGGTGGAGGAGGAGGCGGAGGAGGAGGCGGAGGAGGAGGCGGAGGAGGAGGCGGAGGAGGAGGCGCAGGAGGAGGATAAGTCTTGGTCGTCCTTGGGGCCTCTTGGAGCGTCTTTGATGCCTCGGAGGAGTCTCTCGGAGCCTGTTACCTCTCTCGTGGGGGTCTCTTGGGGGCCTCCCTGGTGATGTTGGGTGCCTCCCTGGTGATGCTGGGCGCCCCTTTGGGCTCTCTTGGGGTCATCTTGGAGGAGATCGATCAAAGTAGGGGGGTCAGAAATTCCCCTTCCCCCCTCGGAGGCTCCAAGAGGGCTGTCTTGGGGCCGTCTTGAGCCGCTCTTGGGCGTCTCTAGGGAAATCGTGGGGCCATCTTGAGGCCCAAGAAGCTTATCGGAAGCGAGAAGGCGATACGCCCAACATCATAGATGATCTTTCGGCCTCTTGGGGAGTGCTTTGGGGGGCTCGAGTGGCACTCTGAACCCTCTTGGGGCTGTCTTGGGCCGTCGTGGAGGCATGTCGGAGGCTATCTTGAGCGATCTGGGGCTATCTTGAGCCATCTTGGAGGCCATCTTGGGCTGCCGAGGGCCCTCTTGGAGCCATCTTGTGCGGTCTGCGGACTCGGGGGGTCCCCCTTTCGGGCCCAGGGGATGTGGTAGAGAAGGAGGGGGTTATGGCAGAGAAGTGAGAGCAACTCGTTAAACCACTCAGCCAAGAGGGCTGGTGGGACTACACCCTCTAATGTTCGGGTCTCTTGGGATGCCTCTCGGAGATCTCTTGTATGCCTCTTGAAGGGGCTCTTGGGGCCTCTGTGCTGGGCCTCTTGGGGGCTTCTGGCGGGGCTCTTGGGAGCATGTCGAAAGGTTCCCAAGGCAAGTTTGACATCCCCCTCTTGGGCCCTTCTCGGGGGCCTCCTGGGTCGTCGTGGGTACCTCTTTGGCCGTCTTGGGGCGCCCTTGGGGGTCTCTTGGGCCACCTGGGGACGATCTCTGGTGCCTCCTACAGTCGGGGCCCTGAAGAAGGAACCCTTTTCGTTGGGGAGGGGCTCCGTGTTCCTTAAGTGTTTCGCAGCTTGCCTCAGGTTTCCCTTAGGTTTTCGATGCGAAATCGAAGTTCAGCTTGTGGAAAATAGGGGCCTCGTTCCTTATTTAGGGTTCCTTAGGTCAACGCCCCGACTGTAGGTCAACGTGTGCGTCCTGGAGCTCGAAGCGCGAGCACGCCGAGCCCATCTCAAGCCTGGAGGGAGACAGTGATGTTGGCCTCTTCGGGTCCTCTTAGGGGGTCTTGTTGGGGCCCTCTTGGGGTCTTGGCGGCCCCTTGGGCCGTCTGGAGGGCGCCTTGAGGCGCTCCTGGGTCGATTCGGGGCCCTCGTGGAACGTCTCGGGGGCCTCTTGCGACCCTCTTGGTCCGTATTGGCGCTCTCTGGCGCTGGAAAGGTGGCGCGATAGGCCCCAACAGTCACGCGAAACACCGGTTAAGATATTACAATATTTCACACCGAAAGATCGAAGGGGCATGAGGACACCCCTTTCAGCGCCTACGTCACAGTTGCGAATCTCAGATGGGGCTCTCGAGTGTGTCCGCGGTTCGGTCGGTTTAGCCGCGTCACAGCCTGTTACGTTCGCCTGGCTCAGTTTGGTCGGTTGCGGTATCGTTGCTGCGTCTCTGCGCCGTTCTATGCTGCTCGCGACCTGTCGGTTTCGGTTTCGCTGTCGGTTCGGTCGGTTTCGGCTGTGCTGTCGGCATCTCAGGTGGAGCCACTTTTTTGGTCCAGGGCGTTTGGAGCCGGCCAGGTGCTGGCGTTCGATGCCATCCATGTTGTGTCGGCGAATGTCTTCCACAGCATGATGAAGTCGGTGGTGTGCGACCAGGTGCTCTGGGGCCGCCAAACATCTCCCTCACCGATCCCCTTCCCAGGAAGGAACACAGAGGGACAGGCCAGCCGCCATTTGGGGATCTGTATTCCTCACCCTCTTTTTTCGGAGCCATTCGCTTCCAGAGACCGCCGAGACGCAGGGTTCCCGGGGGGCCCCAAGGGGTCAGGAAGGCAGCTTCCCCACTTGTGGATGATCGGGGGGAGGTGCTGGTAGTGTATCTCTTTGGCCCCGCAGGTGCCGATCCCTTTCGTCTGCCCGTCGCCGAAGTCTAAGGGCCAGCACGGCTCTGGCGGCTCCAGCGCGTCGTCGGCAAGCTCGGGGTGCTCCGGGGACAGCTGCTGCCCGAGCTCGTCGTGCTACGGCATGCCGGGACCTTGCGGGGTCAAGCTCGTCAAGCTCACACCGATACACCCCTCCCCAGTCCTCCCCGTCGCGCAGTGCGAGGGGGCGTGGGTGGGAGCACGGGTATATTTAGGGGAACAAATGTGACATAAACGTAAAAACTCGGAGGTCCGCGCGGATTTCTCGGATCGGCGCTGGACCCCCCTCCCTGGCGCGCGGAGCGCGCCAGGGGCGGCGCCGGAGGCGCCGCTGGGGGGCCCCGGCGCCGATCCGAGAAATCCGCGCGGGGACCTCCGAGCTTTTATGTTTATGCCACTTTTTGTTCCCCTCGTACTTCTGTTCTCCCAGGATCGGGGGAGCGTAAGACCCGGGTTTGCCAGGACTCGGGTTCGCCATCGTTTTTGACGACCGCGCCTCGGATTTTGACGAGGAGGAGTTTCGTGGGATGTCTGCAGCGCGAGGCCTCGTCAAAATGCAGGCTCGGCCTCGTCATTTTTTTGACGACCTCGTCGGGGGTTTCCGAGTCCACTGTACCCAGGTCTTACGTCCCCCTGACAGGAATGGGCTGCGCTTCATCGCGCGGGTCTGTCTCGTGCCTCGGGTCCAGCTTCCCCTTCACCCAGGGGCAGTGCCAGTGCACGGGCGGCGCCTCCTGCAGCTCGGGCGTGTGCGCCGGAGGCGCCCCGCGGGGCTCCTCGGGCATGCTGTCGGGCCTGTCGGACCTGTTCGACGCCGAGGAGCGCGCCGCGAGTAATCATCCGCCCCCACGCTCCTCCTCCTCCTCCTCCTCCTCCTCCTCCTACTCCTCCTCCTCCTGGGGAACGGTGGATGTGGATACTGACCCTCCCACTGGCAGGAGAGTGTTTTTGTCAAGGCCTGGGCCACAGCGCGCGTCGTGGCCCCCCCTCCCCCCCCTGTGCACCCCCTTCCCCCCCGTGCCCCCCCCCCCCCTCCTTGCAGCCTGCCCAGGCACTGCCGCAGGGCACGCGTAAACCGCGGCCTCGTAGCAAGGTGCGGTCTCAGCGCCGGCGTCTTGATTCGCAGGTTCCTTGTCCTGCGGCGTTCGCAGGCTACACAGTGCTGCTCCCAGGCCGCCGTGCCGCTCGCAGGCTACCATTGGTGTTCGCAGGCATGTTGTCGGTGTTCGCAGACATGTGGGGGTGCTCGCAGGCTACTGTGGCACTGGTACTTGCAGGGTCCAGCGTGGTGTTGCGTATAAATGTGGCGCTCGCTGTGCGAGCATAGCGTGGTGCTCGTAAGCACGCTGTAGCGTTCGCCGGCTGCTGTTCTGTTCCCTGACGCTGGAGACGCTGGCGCCCGCTGCGGCCAGCGCTTGCTTGCAGCGAGCCGCCGCTGCCCGTCCCTGGGGCCCAGAAATCTTGAACATCAGCATTGCGGACAACAGTACACATTCCTTCTGCAGATGTGGTCAATTGAGGCCTCCGAGAGACCCCTAGGCCATCTCTCCCATGTGGGGGCGTCCAGAGTGCGACAGTTTCGAGGACGGCCCGACCGCCGTCTTCGTCGTCGTCGTCTTCGTCGTCGTCGTCGTCGTCGTCGTACCACTCCTTCTCGTCCTCCTCCCCGTCCTTCCCCTCGCCGCCGTCTCCTTCGGCCTCCTGATATCACTCTCTCTCTTTATCCTTCTCGTCCCGCTGCCCCTGCTTGTTCTCCTCTTTCCTCTTGTCGTTCTCATGCTTGTCGTCCTCGTCGTCCTCGTCGTCGTCGCCGTCGGCCTCGTCGTCGTCGTCCTCGTCTTACTCGTCAACTTGTCAACGTTGTGTTTTTTTCGCCGACCTCGCCGTCATCGCCCTCCTCCTTGTCTCCTCTTCGTCCTCCTGCTCCTCGTTGTCCTTGTCTTCACCGTGGATATCGGGTGGGTGCTCATTGAGTCGGGAGGGAATTGAGCTAGGGCGTACAGATTCTTTCTTTCGGCTTTGTGTGCCGACGCCTTTTACTCTTAGCTTACTCTGTGTGTCTATGTGTTCTTCTTGGCCTTCAGCCTGCACTCGAGTGCCGCACGCCCCCGACAGAGCTGCTCCAGTAGCACCCCTACGCGGATCGCTGAGTCCGAAGTCCCGAGTCCTGAGTCCTGAGTCTTCCTCCTCCTTTTGACGTGGCTCGGACTTGAAGCACGGGCTTGTGGCGTCAGCGCAAGAGACAAGCAATCGCCGACTTCGGCAAATAGGCGAGCAACTTACGCTAGGTGGGAGCGCTGCGGACACACACAGGCGACGCATAATAGCGGCAGCGAGAGGCCAACAGCGGCGCAGAGTAAGCTCTCGCCACCAGCACTGTGGGATGCCTGGGGATGACAAGTAATGACTAAGAAGATAAAAAGGAGGAAGCCCAGTGAGCACGGGTCGAAGTGCGCACGAAGTGGGCGACAGAAGAGAGCACGGGCGACTCGCGGAAGGCAACCCTAAGTGTGCGCTGCAACGCCTGGTGCAACCTTGGGTCTCATCCCCCCCGAGATGCCCACCACCCCCCCATCTTGACAGGTCCAGGCGAGCAGCGCTAACATGAGAGAGATGCAGGCGCGGATGCAAGCAGAGAAGAAGCGCGAGGCGAGCAATGCTGCAGTGAGGTGAGCTGTGGCGAACATGCTCCCCTGGCCCTGTTGGGCCTCACGCTTGGCAGCAGCAGGTCCGATCTTCGGTTCCTCGGTGGAGGGATCCGCTTTCGCAGTGGGAATGGACGGTCGGGACAGTGCCGGCATGCTGGATGTGCTGTCCTGGCAGAGGCACGGAACGCTTCTTAGGCTGCCCATATTGTGCTGGCTGGCCTCGCTGGGTCGACTGGTTTATTGGCTTACGCCGCACCGCCGACACCTTGGGGGAGAGTCGCTGTTGCGTCTCCTGGGTGCTGCGTGGCTTGTGCTTGTATTCATATCGAAGGCGCCTACGGCGAATCATCGCCGCCCCCTGCCTTCTATAATCGCCCATGTGGCCAAGCGTTGTGGCAAGAGCTCTTCCAAGCTATCGGACCATGTGTTCCCTAAGCCGTTGTGGAAAACCTTCGGGGAACACGTGGGGGAGGATGGCGGGGAATCTCAGGAGGAGGCGGAGGAGGAGGTGGAGGAGGAGGAGGAGGAGGTGGAGGAGACAGAAGAGGAGGAGGAGGAGGAGGAGGAGGAGAAAGACCAAAACGATAGGATTCGGCACGCCAGGCACCCCTTTGATAAATCAGAAGGGGGCGGCGGATCGAAGACGCCTACGGCGAATCACCGCCCCCCTGCCTTTTTGGAAGCGCCTATGTGGCCGAACGTTGTGGCCAGACCTGCCAAGCTATCGGACCATGTGTTCCCCGAATCGGTTTGGAACGCCTTCGGGGAACACGTGGGCATCTTGAAGGTCATCTTGGCCGTCTGGAGGCCATTTTGACCCTTTCGGGCCTTCTTGGAGGACGTCTTGGATGGCTCTTGGGCCGTCTTGGAGGCCACCTTGAGCGTCTTGGAGGCCTCTAGGGCCATCTTGGGGGCCTCTTGGGGCCGTGTCTTGGGCCTCTTGGGCTTTGGGGGCACTTGGGCCGTTTCGGGCCGTCGGAAGGCAGAACAAAGCAAATGCCACAATCCTTCAAACACCCACGGGGAAATCAACGATTTTGGCCTTTTCGGGCCCTCTTGGATGCCTCTTGGGCCGTCTTGGGCCATCTGAGGGCCATGTTCGGCCGTGTTGGTGGGCTCCTTGTCCGTCTGACGCCGTCGGAAGCCGTTTGGGGGGGCTCTATGGGCCGACTTGGGGCCCTCTTGGAATGCTCCAGGGCCGTCTTGGAGGCCATCTTGGGCGTTCAAAAGGCCTCTTGGGCCGTCTTGGGTGCCTCTTGGGGCCGTCTTGGGGCCCTCTTGGGTTCGGGGGCCATCTTGGAGGCCTCTTGGGCGATCTTTCGGCGATCTTTGGGGGCTCTTGGGCCGTCTCGTGCCGTCGGAAGGCAGAAAAGAAGCAATCGTCAAAATCCGTCCAAAACCTTAGGAACATCAAGGTTTTAGGCCTTTTCTGGCCTTCCTGGAGACCCTCTTGGGGGCCTCTTGGGCCGTCTTGGGCCAGCTTCGAGCCATCTTCGGCCATCTTGGAGGGTTCCTGGCACGTCTGACGCCGTCGGGAGCCGTCTTGGGAGCCGTTCTGGGCCGACTTGGGGCCCTGTTGGGGCGCTTCGGGGCCGTCTTGGAGACTATCTTGGGCGTCTTGGGGCCCTCTTGGGGCCGTCTTGGAGGCCACTTGGGTCGTCATGGGGCCCTCTTGGGGGCCTCTTGGGTGATCTTGGGGGCCTCTTGGGCCGTCTTGAGCCATCGGAATGCCGAGAAGAAGCAAATGCCAAAATCTTTGAAAAACCAAAGGACTATCAATGATTTTGGCCTCTTTGGGCCCTCCTGGAGGACCTCTTGGAGGCCTCTTGGGCCGTCTTGGGCCATGTTGAGGCCATCCTGAGGCTATCTGAGGCCGTCTTGGGTACATCTTGGGCCGTCTTGGAGGCATCTTGGGGCCATCTTAGCCGTCTTGGAGGCAATCTTGGGCAGTCTTGGAGACGTCTTGGAGACCATCCTGGGCCATCTTGGCCGTCTTGGACGCCATCTTGGGCCAACTGGAGGAAACAGAGGCACGACGGATGCGTTTTGAGCGCCTTTCCTGGTGGCCGGCGGGACGGGCCGAAGTCCCAGGGGAGTTATTTTGGAAAAAGAACCAAAACCAAAACCGAGAGGGTCTAACACGCCAGGCACCCCTTTGATGAATCAACAGGGGGCGGCGGATCGAAGACGCCTACGGCGAATCACCGCCGCCCCCTGCCTTTTTGGAAGCGCCTATGTGGCCGAACGTTGAGGCCAGACCTGCCAAGCTATCGGACCACGTGTTCCCCGAATCGGTTTGGAAAGCCTTCGGGGAACACGTGGGCATCTTGAAGGTCATCTTGGCCGTCTTGGAGGCCTCTTGGGCAAGCTTTGGGCGATCTTTGGGGCTTTTTGGGCCGTCTCGGGCCAGCTTCGAGCCAACTTCGGCCATCTTGGTGGGTTCCTGGCACGTCTGAAGCCGTCGGAAGCCGTTTGGGGGGCCTCTATGGGCCGACTTGGGGCCCGCTTGGAATGCTCCAGGGCCGTCTTGGAGGCCATCTTGGGCGTCTGGAGGCCATCTTGGGCGTGTTGGAGGCCTCTTGGGCCCTCTTGGGGCCCTCTAGGGGCCATCTTGGAGGCCACTTGGGCCATCATGGGGCTCTCTTGGGGGCCTCTTGGGCGATCTTGGGGGCTTCTTGGGCCGTCTTGAGCCGTCGGAGAGCCGAAAAGGCGCAAATGCCAAAATCCTTCAAAAACCAATGGAAAATCAATGATTTTGGCCTCTTCGGACTCTCCTGGAGGACCTCTTGGAGGCCTCTTGGGCCGTCTGGGAGGCCTCTGGGGGGCCTCTTGGGCCGTCTTGGGCCGTCTTGGACTCTCTTGGGCCGTTTTGGAGGCCGTCTTGGACCATCTCGGGCGGACTTGGAGGCCATCTTGGGCCATCTTCGCGATTTTTTGAGGATGTCCCGAGCGAAACGGCCGTTTTTGGGCATTGACAGACGCATTTTGGGAAATGCGCGGGTGGCCGGCGGGACGGGCCGAAGCCCACTGGGGACCCCTGCAAGCAGGGGGCGGCGGATCTAGTGGCCTTCGGCCCATCCCGCCACCGTGCCTGGGTTGTGGTTCAGAGGCCTCTTGGATGTTCGTTGGGATCTCGTGAGAAGCCTTTCGGGGGCCTGCCCGAGGCAGTTGGAGGCCTCTGTGGGGCTGTTTTGGGGCTTCTTGGGGCCTCTTTCGGGCCTTCTTGGGGTCTCTTGGGGCCTCTCGGGGCCCCTTGGGGGCCTCTTGGGGCCTCCTGGGGGCCTCTTGGGGTAGAGGCTAGAATTGTCGGTTCGTGGTCCCTTTCTTGGGCCCCTCTTGGGGCCCTCTTGGGACCCTCTTGGGCTGTCTTGAGCCCTCTTGGGCCGTCTTGGGGCCCTCTTGGGCCGTCTTGGGGCCTTCTTGGGGGCCTCTTGGGCCGTCTTGGGGCGGTCTTGGGGGCCTCTTGGGCCATCCTCGAGCGTCGGAAGCCCGAACAGGCGAGAAAGCCAAACACCTTGAACAAACCAATGAACATCAACGCTTTTGGCCTCTCGCGGCCCTCTTGGGAGGCTGGTCTTGCCAGGTTGACTGAATTAGTGGTGGTGGCTTTGCACTGAAAGCACTTGTAGGCTGGCTTTGGCAGTGCTAGTTGAAAGAATCAGCACAGGCTTGGATATACAAGTCTGGCTTAAACGTCTGAGAAGGCGGAGGCTGGGTACTGAAGTTCAGGGAGGTAACGAGACAGCGCAGGACAACAGTGAGAGAGACAGAGAGAGAGACATCATGCCGGGGTGCTGAGAGGAAGCTAAG